ATATATATGGCGATTTTGATATCATAAGTAACATTGTTTTTTTTTGTTTTCACTATTAAATGGTTGCGAGTTTAAATTACTGGCCCATTTATTATATTATTCGCAATAGTCCATGTTTCATTCTAACATGCTAATTGTTTTATAATCCCTACCGTTCTATTTTTTATAGATCCTGCGCAGGGCCGTTTACTATTGATTGTGTACTGTCCACGAATTATGCAACTATGTATTTTCTCCATAATTTTGAATCAATAAAAATGAAACTAAACTGAAGTCTTCGATGACACTTATTTCTTCAGTTATTTCGCCCCTATTAGATAGGCTCAATAAAAGACAAGTTACTCTCATATAAAGAAGAATTTATCTGAAGGTGCAAACACAAGATCGACTGTCGCATAGAACGTCACGAACCTACAGACGGCCACAATTGTCGCGTGCATCGGCCCAAAATATCTTCTTCGTATCATTCCCAGAGGCAACAAAATATAGCAAAGAAGACTACTTTTTTTTTTTATAAGTAGTTTCCATGTCCCTACGGCTCTGGCATGTACTTCGTTAATACGATAACTGAGAATGAGGTACCCACGCGCTATGGCTGTAGAGCTGTAAGCGATACTCACTACACTCCTGGCCTCACTCAAGCTAACCACGAAAAAGGCGCGTATTTACGATATTCCCCAGGATATTCACACATATCATTACCACATTATTAGGCCACGCTTCTCGTGATATTTTAGACATAGATCAACGCTAGATACTTTCTTTTGTGTTTTCTATAAGCTTAAAATTCTATAGCTTCATAAAATTACATTTACGAGCTGCCGGGCCTCTTTTACGGATTTCGGCAAAAATGATACACAAAACTCACAAAGCTAACGATCGAAATTTATCCACAGAATACAAATACATTAATTGGACAAAAATCTGTGTGTATTCACGAAAATGATGGAAGCAAGATACTAAATGACTTGGATCTAGCTATCGTAGACTCGACAATGAACCATGAATTGATCGGCTCGCATGAGTGTGTGTGCAATATAAGGCTGTTAAATAAATGGCCGGTGGCAACAGTGATACCAGTATCAATACAGCAAGCAATTCTACGTGAAACTTCTTCTTTATAAGCTCTACATCGGCTGAGATTAAAGGCTAGGAAGAGGGATATAACTGCCAAAATGCAAACTTCAGAGCATTTTTTTCCGCCAGAGCTATTCTGCTCTATAGTCCAACTGTGTGATCTGAAGCGAATCGTATGGATGAATCGACTCAGACTGCTAGAATCGGTCATCTTTATATAAATTGATCTCAGTTGTATAGCAGACATAAAAGACTAATTTTCGGTAGCTGATCAATCAACCAACCAATGTGTACAAGTGGATTGCCAGGTTTCGTCCAGGAGACCTAAGTGGGGCTTCATAGGAACTGCTTGAGAAAATGGAAGGAAAAGTTTTCAGGTCACGCTGCGGTCAGTGGCTCCACATCTCATCCGCATACTATCTGATATGGGTATGCGCAGTATGTACGCCGCACAGACGATTCATATCTTGTCGTTGGCGGTTGTCTAACATACGCTACTTAATGTTGGTAAGGTTTGGTCTCTTCCACAGCGGCAGGGAAAATATGAAAGGACAAAATCGACAATGTGGAGTAATGCTCATAACGTCAAAAACCTATTCGCTTGCAAGAAACCATCTTTACTTCCGTAAGCCTCAGTGTGGAACACGGAAGTTCGACGCTAGCGCGCGGTAGAGGGTGATCCGCCTACCTCCCCAAAATCTGCAATGTGCAACAATTTTTTCGATGCAGTGCGAAATAGATAGGTACGGGAACACACGAAAAGCGTGGGTACTTATGCCGTATAGGTTAGCAGTAAAGTGAAACTAAAAGGCTGTACACAGTATGTTACGATCACGAGTTCGACGAATGGTTCGTTCAGGCCGGAAAACGGTTAGCTTAGCTCCGTGTGGCCTAAATATAAATACTTTACCCTGCACACGAACTTTTAGCCTTATCTCTTTTATAACTAGTGATAGCAATATGGGGCCGAAAGATATAACGTTACTGCTGTCGTTAATACGTGCGGTATGAGCCACGAACGGAGATAGGGCGTTGTTTCTGCGATTATTGATTAGGTCTCTCGATGCGTAGGCCTGTCGTCTTTCTAAGGTAATCCGCCCTGTGAAATCTATGATAATATTGCGTTTTATTGACGACGATAATACGTTATAAGACGAGCTTCTGCTACTGCAGCAGTTAAAAGCAATCAAACAAGGTGTTGTAAGCTATAAACGACCCAATCAGATTGAATTTGCACCTACGTTTTACACGAGGCTGAAGATTTTTACGTTATAAGATAAAGTAAAAAGGAACAGTATCATTTTTAAGGTTAGATATCATAAATTGATACATGTTTGATATTGATCGATTAGGCTTATGCTGACTTGCCAGATATAGATTAATATAGATAGAGTAATGAAGTAGATTCGAAGATCGTAACGTCAATTTGACCGTGATTATTAAAGAATGGGTTGCACACTTGTCACTGTTATGCATTGACCCATATTGCTATACAACAATTTCTCGCAAACAATTACGTGTTAATGCACAATGTTCTATTTTATTGCTGTTGATCGAACGACTGAGTTACTGTTAGCAAACGTCGACCTTTTCATGCCTAAAAACGATGTTTCTTTCATATTTCACAGCCGTTTAACTTGTCAGGCAATGCGAAAGACAGCCACTTCCAACCGCAGAATGAAATGTGCCCAAACCGGGCTCAAATCTAAAGCATTACATGTACCTAAATTTACTAGGAAACACGTTAAGTAACACTGCGCCATCTCGAGAACCCCTTGATGGGTAAGCATTGCGAGGTGCACTATCAGCGTAGAGATTAAAGCTGTATTTCTCTGTAGCCCAACTAGCTAGTGGTAACGGAAACGGCAAACAGTATTTGGACGAGTTATCTTCCGACAGAAACGAAGTAGATCGATAGGTCAAAGGCATTCCTGCAGTTGTTGATACAAGAGCGCATTGAGAAGATACCTAGCAACTCAAGCAGTTAAAAATTTAAATCCCACCTATCGATGGGTATCTACAATGGAAACGTCTCTCATATACCATGCGCACAATGCGCAGTATGTAATCGTCGACAGCAGCAGCAGCAGCAGCGGCCGTTACAAAAACAGCGACTGGTCTTTCGCGGTGGAAAAACTGTGACGACAATTCCGATGTATATATTTTTCGGACTCACTTGGCTTGGAGCGGGTCTTGTTACTGGGAGCTTTGTATGGAGCTTAATGGCACCAGAAAACCAAGGCGTCCTGAACACAGAATGGTGGGACACACCTTGAAACACGAGTGCCGGGTTTAAGAACTCAAAAAACAGTGTAAAATTGTTCTGCTCCGATTAGAAGGAGAAAAAATAAATTGAATCAACAAAGCAAGTCGCCTCTTGCAGTAAACCATTGTTGGCCGACACCATTGTCTAAACAAAGGATATATGAAATACTGTAATAGTACAGCTGACTGGCAATCTTGCGGTTATTTTTTGCCTGTGGCATTAGAACAAGAATGACTGCCTTATGTATAGAAGTGTAACGCTATTTAAGTATGGTTTTAAAGAATTTCATCCTTCCAATTTAGGCGAAAATTTGAAATACCGAAACAGTGCAGGGATTATTAAACTGATGAGTACCTGTATATCAAAAAATACCTATGTTTTAGTAAGGAAAACGCAAACTTTTCGCGCCAACAAGCTGGGCGATATGGTGGGTTCGTGCCGTTTTGGTTCAATTAACGGGCAGGTTGAATGGCAGTCATGGCGTTAAACTAATGAACGAACTAAGGCTTTGTTAGGTGATAGGCCAGTCGCCTGTTCCGGGGATACAGCTGCCTCTAGCGGCACACCGATGAGCTAATGTCAACATGAGTTCTGGTCAGCAATTCTACATAAAGAACTATGTGCTTCCGCGATAAGCTCTGTTTATTGCCTGACTCGAAGAAGCATTACGTGCTGTTTACATATAATATGGGTTTGTACTAATAGTCTTCCTACACCAGGAGAGTTTTACCATGTACAAAGATTTTATACAATTTTCGACCTTTATAATATAAAGTATCAGATTTTGTCTAGTGACTGAAACAGCAAGACCGCTAATAGAAACACGTCTAGAAGTGTTGCCACCGTTTATTGGAGGTTGACAATAAAACGGGAGGAAATAATACCACTTCTTTCTGGCAGCTACCCTGGGCGTAATACTTGTTGCCCATCCCGACACCATTGTTACTGTCATGTGTATAATAGTATAACGCTTTACAAGCTAGATAAAAGAACTCATTATATTTGACATTCACGAATAATACGAAAAATTTTTTTTACTAGAGGTCGTCGATAGAAACAAGTTTCTTCCGATTCTTTAGATAGCACGCTCCGCATGCTCGAAGCTGATTGAACCGATTCTAAGTCCTTAGTGAGCAGTATAATAATAGCATATGCCATTTTTTTGAAGGGATACATGAAACCCGAAAGTTGGACTGTTGACTTAGAGCTTTGTTCCAATAAACTGAGCACAGATAAGGATGTCTTAGGAATATTCGACTGGGCAAAATGATGCACTAAAAACGCGGAGTTTTGTCCTTTAGATCATCATTGCATGCGCCGTTGCGTAGCCTACTGCAAAACCGCTTTCCTGGAGAAACGAAATCCTCATCGACAATCTGCACGAACACTGACCTTTTGATATTAATCTTTAGCATTAGTAGTGCTTGAACGCCATGGCTCCTACATAGAAACCACATCCTCGTGCTAACAACTGCGTTGCGTCAGTGTACTTATCCGGTGATTCGAAACGTAGGACAGTACAAATGGAAAGACATTGATCTCATTGGCTCCCAGAAGAAACCATCTTACATTTCGTTGCTATTACTGTAAACAGATAGCGAATAGTAAAACTGAAAAGCCTTCAAACAGTTAACACCAAGAGTTAGAGTTAACTTACCGATGCTGTAGTCGATTGCAGTGAAAGGCACGCAGAAAACAATAAAGAGCAGGTCGGCAATTGCGAGATTGATAATAAGCATATTTGTTGTGGAGCGCATTTGCGGGTTACACGCGACCACGACAACGACAAGGGCGTTGCCTACCAGACCGACAACGCAGATCAGGCCGAATAGCCAGGGGACGACGACCTCAACGAACACCGGACTGGCTTCCGCAGGTGAATTGCTAGCTTCGACTTTCGACACTGTCAAATCGACATGGCCGAAATATATCATCGTCGATCATCGAGAGATCCATCAGACCCACCAGGACATACCGGAAAACCAAAAGAGATATCATTAAAACCAATTCGTTTACTTTATTTGGACGTAGGTGTTTCTGACCTGTGCTGCCTGGAGGCTAGCCTACTTGATGATTTTCTCCCATAAAACGCATCTAGAAATAAAAGAATTAAGCTTTTTGTTCTCTTATTCAATAGATAACAATTCATTGGGTTCTTCAGATACAGCGCTCGATAACTGTATCGTCGCCAGCAAGCGGGCAGCATGTCCTGCGTTTCAAAGCTACAAAAATGAGAATACAAATTCAACTATCAGGACTAACTCGTAGACTTAAGTCTACGAGTTAGTCCTGATACTATACTGTCCTGATACTGAGTTAGGAATACTGCAGTCTATTACAGTTAATATTCTAGCTTCCATCCACTGGCAGTAAACCAATGCTGTCGGAGAGGACGAATCCGATCTGATTAACGGCACATGAAGCAGTATACATGTTACCACGATAGCTGTCGTCTGGTAAATAGTGCATATGTGCAAGAAGCGTGTTTGGTCTCATTTCAGAAAGCATCACTTGCTTAGCAATAAAGTCTTATATATATTAAGGTCTAGTAGTGTGAAGTATATCTTATTTACACTTGATCTAAAAAGACTTTCTTAAGCTACGCCAATACAGTATAGTCGTAAATTATGATGCATGTGTCTATGTACTGGAGAGAAAAGTAGGCTTACAACTAGCCTTAACTGCAGTTAGCAAAAAACATTAGACAAAAGAAAAACATTACAGCTGGAATAGAGTTTATTTGGATTGTTCATTTAATTTCTTGTACGTGTTACCCAACTGTAAGCCCGCTTTGTGCCTGCTGCTATTAAATCTCTAGCATTTTTAGCACGCATCTTTGTAGGATGCGTGCTCTTCCAAGCACACGTTGTTACCTTGAATGATACACATCTTTTCCTATATTCCGTAAACGCTCTCCACAAAACTTCTATCGAAAATATTTCAACTCCTCTTCGTCGTTAGAGATTTCAGAAGACTGCAATTACCCGAAACAGCACTGCCCCATATATATATATATATATATGGGGCAGTGCTGTTTCCCAATTCCCAAAAATATATTCCCCAATTATATATATATATGTATATATATAATTGGGGAAAATTCAGAAAAACTTTACATCTGCAGAGACAATTGGACAACTCTGCTGCGTGTTCCCATAAAAATATTTCTCTTCGAACACCAGAGCAAGAGAAGCCATTGAAGTACCATATATTATTTCGATAGTATTATTGCAAGTCAAGCAAGATCTATGATGTTCATATTGGCATAAAGGGCGTACAATACAGCTCAACAAATCGTCCTTGTAAAATTTACAGATAGGAAAACAGCATTCGTTTATGAGCTACCATTCACCGCAACAGGTATTAAGCAGGTCCCTCTAGAAAGAAACGTCTCGTTAGGAACTAGTCGATTGCTTAACATCGTTCGGTGGCAAGAAGCACTTCTTGTTTAGAGGTTCTAAGTTTGAACTTACCTCATGTTTTCTCCTTTCAGTGGTAGTTGACTTACGTCTGTCTTAGAATGATTGTCTTTTACTTCGCGTAAGCCTTGTTAATATTTATATCATATGCTAAATACATAGCCAGCTAAGTACCCACGGCCATAGGAAATACCAGACACCAGATCGCGGAGTCGGCTTGCAAATAATCCCAGCAACGCCAGTTGGTATTTACACATGTTTAGTATTCTTAGCGAGATGGAGTAGGCAGCCAGCTGCTTTCGTATTAATCGCGTTGAAAAACCGGAGACGAGTCAGCTATAAAAGGCCAAGCCTGCTTTGTTCTGCTTTTCCTGCAATGACGACAGCAGCAACTCTACGCGATGACCTTATAGCCGAGAGTTGTTTGCTGCCGGTAAGTAGGATACATGGGGTCTCCTCTCGATGACGCACACACTGAAGGCCCGAAAATTTAAGTGGAGAGTGACAACGGTAAAGACTGTGAAAAAACTGAGCAGCGTGTTTTGCTCTGGACAAACTACAGGCTTATTGAAGAGGCCGAAACTGGTACGGCTATTAGGTTTCTCGTGATCCTTAGCTAATGAGAGCCCCGTTGTAGTCTTATGGGAGAGTGTCCGGGGACAGAATAGTATGTTGTCGATGAATTGATTTCACTGGGTCAGTTAAAGTTATGAATGGAACGACAATTACCTAATGTAAGGAAAGTGCCAGTGTAAGGAAAAAGTGGCGTAGACACATTCAGTTCATAAATGGTGACCGTGATGGTGGGAACGCATATGGCTTTATTTTATGTTTCATGTTAGCAAGACGTTTACGTTCATCTCCGCCCGAAACATAGCCGCATTCAACGGCGCAGATTGCTGAGCCTTGCACCGTATCGTGTAATTCCACTTCGGGATATAGTACATGAGAAATATGATTAAATAAAAACTCCGCCACTTCCAATCATACCCGGCCTACAATAGGTGGTGTATCTGTTAGTCGGTGACTTTTTAGCTGTGAGGGAAGCTCAACTAGACTCTACAGTATGAGAGTGTTATATGGATATTGTGTATCCTTGGAGCATTTAGAGTCAAGAGACTAACCCACCATGCATAAGCAGGGGCAGCAGTTTATCTGGTGAGATGATAGCAGAAGAACACGAGAATTTAAAGTGCAGGAGGCGAGCAGTCAAGAGGTAACCAGCCACTCAAGATTTGTAAGAAGTTGACCCGTGCAGATACGTCCAGACAGCGTTTCAATCGGGAACTGGAAGCCTGATCGAATTAAGTTGTCTCAATCAAATGTCTATGAAAACCAAGTGTACTGAGAGGACAAAAAAAACGATCGCTTGATATGCTGCGCTGAAATGAGTATAGGTAGTACGTATGCTGAAATCTATATTGCCATTAGTATATATATATATATATGCTCAGAATGGAAGCAATAAGTAGCTATTGGTTAGGACAACCAAACCTCTAAAAGCGATGGAGCCGCAGGACCTGAAGGCCGCACAGCTGTTCGTTTATGCGGCGGAGAATGCATCATCCATCGATTAGACTGTAGACATCGCCGCAGGAGCCAGACCCTCGTACAACCGTTAATACTGGTAGCGATCGCCAGCACTAAGGCAAAAAATGTAAAAGAGTGTTCGCCCGTGAAGAACTAGTGTCGACGAATGAACGTTTAACTGAAGGACGAAGTGCCGTACCGGAATACAGCGGCCAAATACCTTACGAACCTACCAGATCTGAAGTGTAAGGGCTACAGAAAAGAAGGACGCCGCGCACGCCCTGCAACGACGCACAGAAGTGCGAGGACGCCATAATTGTTGGAGGACTATGCCAATGGCGCATAGAAACTAGGGAGACGGCTGAGTGTTGCATCAAGCGTGCGGAATCATTCACACATCTAAATGAGGAAGAGGCGACCACATGGGGAACACGCGAGGACGTGAACGCAGAATGTTACGGTAAAAGTGTAAACAATAGACAATTGCTAGTTCATACGACACAATATCTAATAATTATTGACCTAATATTGTATGAAAAATTGTCTGTCTTGTTTGCGATTCGAGAAGTGGCTGCACAATTAGGCAACAAACTGTAGCTTGTTTAGCTAATTTGTTATAAAGTGTGTCAACCCGTTCAAAATCTATCTAACTTCGCTTAACTTACCTTCACTTTGTTTAGCCACAACCTAGACATGGGTCTAAAAGTGATTTTGATCACTTTATTTTAACGGGAAGTAACGTCCGTCAACGTCCCCTCCCGTTCATGCGCTTACAGAAGTGCGTGGGCTAATCGTATTAACGTCTACACAATCAGGGTAGGAACAGCCGGGACTAGAAAGGACAAATATATGTGCTTGCAACACAGGCCCTATCTCGCATTTCTGTAGCGCAGCACCCGTGAAGGCAGAAATTTAAAAGTCAATGCAATAATGACGTGCCAGTTATAAGCAGGTTTCGATTCGGACAACACAACAGAGCTGCGGTAGGAGTAGAGAATAGCTCGTTAACGAGTGGAACTTTGACCATTCAAATCAGCAAACGCCTCATTACCCGATCATTTGATGATCACATCCTTTAGTCGTCGCCATAGTCGTCAGGTCAAACAAGTACTATACAGCGGCCGGTTCAACAAATAATAGAGTGAAAAGATAAATTCAAATAGCATTCACCCGCCTGGGTATCAATTCAGCTTTGCCATGGTTAGTTAGGTCGCGTTACTCAAACATGATAATACATGTTCAAAATGGAGGACATAATTAGAATCGACCTTTCATTCAGTATTTGGTGGCAAAAGTATGTTCATCTTCCATCAACTCCAGGATAAGCATTAGTAGGAATAATTATAGTAATACATTGTTTGCAAGCATACAGAAACCCTAAAATATGTTATTTTAGCTTCTACAGCGTTCTCTTCTTCACACGTATGACAACTTTGATAAGAGATCTTGAAGAGACGCCTGTTCCTTAGCTGGCCTCGAACGACCGCGAGATTCAGGAGGATCTGTTCACCTGTTGTTGGCGATTCATTCACAAATGATAGGCGCGCATTTCCGGTTGAGGCGGGTTTATTTGTTTGTCTGCTGACTCTTGCGCTCAAACACGTGTTCGAGACAGCAAATACCTTTTTTTAGTTTCTAACACATAGAATTGTCTCGTTGAGAAGTTTGATACAATCTGTGTGGTCTCTGTGCAAGTATGGTAGGCAGCGCTCGCTTCGTCGTATTCTCGAGAAGTGGTCGTAGACGCGTAAAAAGTGCTCAACGTGAGAGGCAGAAGCGTACGTCAAATGAAAGGTCACCTTTTCAGTGATGACGACGCGTACTTAGAGTTACAAGCGAAAGGAGGAAATGGTAAACCTTAGGTGGCTGACATTTTATCATGGTAGATATATAATAGTAGGCAGTTAAAGACAGACTGTCTTTCCGGGTATAACGAAACGTAAATTCAAATATGAAAATACATAGATTTAGATCCACTTACATTTTTCCAAGTTTAAGGTTTCGCTTTACTATCGTGTAAGATGCCTATTGCTTATACTAGCTCCCTGCAGGTAATTCGGCGAGCCTGGATGAATTGGTTGGCTTTTTTTAGGTTTTTGTCCGAACGCGTTAGGACCAGTTACCCGAAGAAACGATCAATTTTTCCAGATCAAGCTGGTCTTGTTAGTGCTAACTGGCATCCAGCACTGACACACAGCCTGTTCCCTAAGAGCTTTCTGCGCTATCGGCACCATCTGCAAGCACTTAATTTCACCCTTTTACGCAAAACGTCATGTACTCTACTTTCGTTTCCCAAAAACGCAGAACACAGCCGAAACTCAGCCACTATAAAGCGCCTATAATATCCGAAGCACACGTTAGAATTCTCTAGCGTCTGCCTTGTGAACGGTGGACTGGCAGACAAATGTGCAGTCACAAGCCTAGTCAACCCAGGTCGGCTTTTAACTAGCAGAAGCTGGCGGCCATTTTATCGATGCCTCTTTTCTATCTACTAGTTTTTTTGACACATGAACCCGACACACCTTGCGGGAGTAAGGAAGTTATTGTTTTTGACTCAATGATGTGTCGTCATAGACGTATCGTGCAACCGTGCGTATACAAAAATAAATGTACTGTTTACTACTTTGTGGCCGTACTTTGACGTCTGCTTCTGTCTAATCTTAATGTAGATAACTAATTCTTCCAACACCCCTTAAACAGGTACTATTTATCAGTCATTTAAGCACTAAACAGCCAATGTTCCCAATTAAGCCCTAAATGTACATGTCTTAATGCTTCTATAAGGGATACACTTCGTTGGATAAATGCGACACAAAATCAAGGGTACCGTTAAAAATAAAGTATAAATCATATGGGGGTCGCATAAAGAGTCCAACAAAAATTCTCATAAGGTGCCACTCATCCTAAAGGGTTTTTTAAGTCTACAATCTCAATTCAAACATGTGACGATATCCAGTCTGTCGATTTGAGTATTCTTTACCTAACTCACACGTTAGGCATCATCTGCAATCAACATTATTATTATATAGCTACATTCATGCGTAAGCGTTTCTGCTCTGGTTATACGGAACGCGTTATTTTATCATACTCTAATAACAGCAACGATCGAACTTTGCCTTCATTCCCTACGACCTGGTCCCATCTTTTAAGTAATTCGTTTATTTCTGTTCGCTCGAAACCTTTAGGTTTGATGTTGAAAAGCTTATCGAGCCAGTTTTTGAAACTCTTTTCACTGTAAAATGTATAATCAATCATTTAATTTTACCTAGTGATTAGAAAAGGCAATAATTCTAAGTAGATCCAATCGATTCTAGATGCTTGCAGGTGTCGAACTTGTCGCTTCAGGAACATACATTTTTTTAATTCAAACTCGATGCAAAGTCCCGTTTATCGCACAAAATAAAATAGATTTATCAAGGGAAGAGGACACTGTTGAATGGTGCATAGAGTAAAAAATAACACACAGTGTGTAAGGGTGTTGCGTAAGAAAAATCACCAGGTGCTCCAAATTTCCAAACTTTCGAAAACTAAAAGTAGGTGATGGAGTTATAACGACGATTTCCACACGATCAAATAAAAATTAACGTTTAAATTTTCCAACTTTTACCTCCGCTACTGGTATTATACATTACTTCAGACCGCTGACCTTCAGTACGAGACAAGGTGCATTTACGATTTGTCGAATGTTAAAAAGATTGCCTATGATTTTCTTTGCAGCAAGGCTAATATATTTAGTAAGTGGCGAAGTCATATTCTCTCAATATGAACCCGTAGAGCTCGTTTATCCATATACATATATATATATATATATATATATATCGTCAAAAATTGCAATTCCATATCTTGTTTAAACAACACCCACGAAACTCTCCTCGGTATCGCACGTCCGCGCTGTAACGTAACGCTGTGAAGTATTCCTGTTGAAGCGTCTGGAAATCGTTGAACATTTTTGAAATCCTTAATTTCCAAATCTGTTTTTGACATTATAAGGAATTTTGAAACTTGTTAAAATTTTCCTCGAATTCGGTGAAAATTTATGTAGGAAAAGGTTTCATTAAGAGGGAAAGCTGAAATAATTAAGACTGGCAAGTATTTCGATATGCACGGCTATCTTTTCTTTTTTTAAGCCTGGAAAGGGCTATGGTGAATGCAGTCGCGGAAGAAACCCTTTGGGAAATATAGTCGAAGAAATTATTGGCCAACGATAAGTCACAAATGTTGAAATAACTAAAATAGTAAAAGAAATATCAACTCAAAAACTAATGTCTGCGTAAAATTAGTAACCATATCGAACAGGTTTCGTAAGATATATTTTAATTTAAGAAAAATGACAGTCTTACACAATACCACAGTTTTACATGACTAAAATGGTGCTTCTTAAGGACATATTTCCCGTAAGCAAATAATAAATATCCAAGGCGTTTTATGGATAGCTTTTGGCCAAACTCGTCCGCCAGGTCACGTACTTCAAGTTCACGTACGTTACCATCGTTTGAACTTATTTACCATTGATTGTTTTTATAGGATGAAAAATAGCACCATTTGATACACTGTTCCATTGAGCCTAGATCGGGTTCTTCGCCCATATTTCCAGCATGAGAGTTTATCATACGATACACGAGGAAAATTACAGAGCTGATTCACTATAAATTTTTACAGTATGTACATTTTATTAATGACTGCTACTTTTTGCCAGTCAGACAAATAACATAGTGTAATTTACGATTATGAGGTCTCGTTGCCTCGAGCTTCGACTCTAGAGCATCGCTGATTGGAATAAGGTCTGCTTGAATCTTCGTTCTACAAATGTAGTTAGCGTGACTGGTTTACATAATAACGTTTTAATTATTTTGATAATTTTCTACTCTCGTGTCCTCCGCGTTGTTGCCGTGAAGTTTCCTTACAACGTCTTATCTCCCTAGGAAGATGTGCATATACTTACATTTTATAATCATTGTTACTATTACCAGCAATATATAGGTGATACGACTAGCCAGAGTTGGCTCATATATTCTGTATCGTACACAAACAGACAAAAGTAAGACAAGAGAATAAAGCTAAAGGCCAACAAAATTTGCTTTTAAGCATTCACAGATCATTCTCTGACTTATCTAACGATCGTCTCAAGTGATCTGACTATGCGTTCACCAGCGCCACTTCGTTTTTCTTGCGAACAGAATTTTATACAGGAACACAGTAACGTAATAATAACGTAACGACCACTTCCCGACACGCACTCTTGTATACAGTCGTGACGCTTCACGGCAGTTCATTTATCTACTACAAGACTTTTACAAGGATATAATATGGATAAAATATACAGATAAGATATATATCGTCGAACTTAATTGTTTTTGTGAAGTAATTTCGGAATAAAACTTAGGACCTATTGCCACCTCAAGAACGCTCGCAGAGTCATTAACTAGAATTGATCAATGATTTGCCTTGTATAAAATAAGGCCACTATATTTGCAATGGAGAATAGCAAACTATTCCAATTACTTTCATCTTCTACAACGCACGAAGTTTAACTGTAAGTTTAAACGGCACGACAACCGCACACGTTAGATATACTTCTCAACACTATACAGAGGTGATCCGCTACGAGGATACCGTAATAGGAGTTATAGATGAAGCTAAAATCTGTTGTGGGTAACACAGTTGTCATTACTAGATTATCGCAATTCAGCAGCGAACACTGATGATTCTATTAAAATGCAAGCTAAATCGAATGGCTTAGGATGTGTAACCGCGAGATGCGTCTAGACTTCAGGTTTGTTCGCGTACATCTACTTCATGACCTAGCCTACAAATTCCCGCAGCCGAGCCTTGCGTTCACTTCGATTCATAATCCCTTAGGGAAGAGCCAGAGCAGACAGACTTTCTGCCCGGCAACGAATCTATCTAACTAGTCTATGAAATTGTGCGTCGCAAAACAAGGCGACGGGGTCGGGTCTACTACTGCATTCTCATGGTGAGCTTACTATTGCAGAGATCGCCGCAGAGGCTCCCCCCGGCCACCGTTGTGGCGATGTCTTCGTACGCCACGAGAGCCTCTAAGCTCGTCATTTTCCCCAATACAAAGAGGGCTCAGGCTGTGCTTCAGCTGCGCGGGGCTTCCACTACAGCATTTTCCACTTGAATCATTTACCGCTTTTTGCAGATTCGCCTTTAACCGTGCGCCACTGCCGCGGCTGTGGTCCGCAGCCTATGGCTAAGCCACTAGTAGCGGATCTCCTGGGCCAGCCTTGAGCCGGTCCTCGTATAAGCCAGACTCAGCCCCTACACCTCATCTGCAAACAGAGTAATACCGCACAGAAACATAAGCAATCATTCGTGAAAATACATGACACGAAGACTCCAGATACGAAATCACAAACATACAGAAAGGAATACTCGTATATGCACAGGGTGTCGAATATTAGTTCTGTAATGAACTACCTCTACAGCCGCCAAATTAGCTACTGCTACATCCGTCATGACAAGAAGTGAAGCCAACTAGAAAGTTTCTTATCATTCGCTATTGCAGGAACAGTGGCAACAGTAGAGAGACATCTTAGCATACAACTCTATATGAATATTGCCAATACTACTGAACTGCGCATAAAAGCGCTTCCTACAAGGCAAGTTTTCCTTGAAGTTGGTGTCAATTCGCCAACACGACTTCAGGAACGAGCGCGCTATATCACGCTGAGGAGTCGATGTCGGTAGTGACACGGATGGAGAGGCATCGAGCTTCAGCAGTTCCTTCCATTGCTCGAATTGTATCTTTTCTGCAACACATTTAGCGAAGTCTGTGGTCTTCGTTTTTTGCGGCAGTGGTGATGAGGATGGAGGTGTCCCGATCTCGAGGATTTCGTGCAGTCGCCTATTCCTACTACTGCCGCTGACATATTTGTTGTGCCATGCGTTCTTCTGATTCTGTCTGTGCGAATGACAGCATATGGATATGTGCTTCAAGTATGTATAAAGGCAGGTTCAGGTGGCAGCGCGACAAGCAATAGTAGAAAATCTGCTTTGCCTGAATTAGGGGATCTGTCGGCGCATGCGCCGGGAGTCATTATTGGTCTGGGGCAATGGAGTATACACTTTAAAACACTACTGGCTACCTCCTTTCCCTTCCTACCGCGTCCGGCAAAACGGCCGATCTTTAAAGAAGACTGTTTTTATAACTAAACGTGGATCTTTAATGGCGTACAGTTCAAATATGTGAGCTCGCAAAACGGTCAAAGCGACTGGCAGTGGTAGGTTTAGTGTAAAAAAAGACCCCAAAGGAAAAATTAAATGGCCACTCAATGACTGGTTAGAGATTTTCTAAGCATTTCTTTACAATGTATTAGAATATGCAGGCCAGCGCATTCGTTTCATCAGGTTTTGTAGTATCTCGGTAAGCCTGAGTGATTCATCAAGGGCATAGAACCAATAAGAACATAAAACGCAAGAAATTATTTTCCAGCATTTTCTTCTGGCTTTTAACCACATTCGATAATCTAACCTGTTTGAGGTTGGCGATAGACGGTCTTAGTACAGCTTCAATCCTCTGCTGGCATTAACCATTAGGAAGCGTATTCGCTATAGCTGGTGAGGCACTAAATCTCTTTAAAAGGCTCGCTGACAGTCGTCGTTTTAACATGTTTTGCCAAACCCTCTTAGAATTTATTAGGTTGTCTGATAAATGTGTTACTGTCTCATGCACTTTAGTACTTATCTTAAAGTCTGTTAACTCGTAAAATGGATCAGCTATGCTCAAAAATAGTGATGAATCTCTGAAAGGTAACGCCCGTAAATGTCACTCCGCCAGAAGTTGGCTGAACGGACAAAAACATCGTGAATTGAACATTGGATAATTGAGCAGATTTCACTACCAGGCCTGAAAACAGACTAAAGCTTGTATTGTTTTGCTGCTCCTTTTATTAGACTAGTAGGTATAGCGTAAGCGTATAAACAAATTCAGCTATATTGAATTTTTCTGCCTACACACCATCTAAGTGACCGTCATGTATGACCTTTCAGTCCCTTCACACGCAGTAGATGCATCCATTCACACGGATTTTCAACACGTTACTCATTGTCGCAGCAGTAACATATTGACAGACAGGACGAAATTTTATTGGACCTAACGGGTGATGCTTCTCCTCTCAATAGCAAATTTATCGTAAGCACTCACTCACGTATTGATTTTTTTTTAATATTGATTGGTACTTACGGCTATCCTCATGGTGCTGTTAGGATCTTCTTTCAAATATCTCGTATGTGGCTATACTCTGGCAATCCTTTTTAAACAATCCATGCTTCAAATAGATCGATTAGAAACTCTAGGTTCTCCGTAGCTGTGTACAGCTTTCACATATCTGAAATAGCAATAGAACGAACGATTCTGTAAATATAAGGACGCTCTATGCATATTCTGTTTACTAGTTAGTACATATACTGTCTTGATACCTGTCGATCGCCGAAAAATAATAGTAATAATAATAATGACTGGATTTCAAAACTTTTTCTTTCACGGCATTTTTTTTTTATCGATAACATATTACAATCGTGTGTCGAATAAACTCGGTGATTTTTTTTTAAGTATGTCCGTTTTGAAATTGACGGGATGCTATGATCGACGTAATAGGCGCCATTGGATTATACGATGATGAAGATATAATAAGCCATATAAATGACTATTTGTTCCATTGTTGCCAACTTTTAATTTGCGCTCAAAAACAGCGTGTGAGTGCTACCTTACGTGTGCGAAGGTTTTGAAGCTTACAAAACCGGAGACGTATGTTCCAAAGATTACCAGCGATCTGACATGCCAAGTCTCGTTTCCCGAGTCCAAAATTTCCCGAGTCAACTTGCTCTTAGATAGTATTTTCTCAGTTCCTGGAGCATGACCTAGTGTCACCATATAAAATATCACTATTGTTGTTGTTGTTTATTTCTACATATGCTCTTTGAGCCTAACGTAGAACATAGCTACACTGTCGGATCTAAACCCAGTAGGTTCGTAACTTACACATTCGTACTTGTGTTAAGCACACAGTAAGCTAAATATGAATTTCGCCCTATCTGTTTTCAAAGCTACTGCTGTCCTTACGACTGACTTATTTATATACTTGCTAAATTCTGATTCGAATCTTTTTGACTTCGTCCTTCTTAATAAAACCCAGATTTTCATAGAACGTAGAAAATGATGCTCCTCTCGGTGAGATAGACGTAGTTAAAAAAAAATGTTGAAAGATAGAAGGCTAGAGCCAGCCCAAACGATGCATCTGTTAAAGCACCCGTAGCAACAGCTTCCATAACAGACGTGTAGTCCAACTTAGTGCAACTAAGATACGCCTTCTGTTAAGTGAGAACTTTTTAATCCTCGCCGGTTTTGGACTATTATGTCCGACCCATATTTTCGTAATGTAAACTCTTCCTATACCGGTCTCGTTTCTCTCCAAATTAAAGCTAGTTTTAAAGTCTATTGCCGTTGGCAACAGCAAATAAAGCGGCCCTATTTCCATTACAGAACAGTTCACACCGCGGACAGATGTAACAAGGAAATAAATCTATCAGACGATCGGGTGCCACAGGCCTGTGCCACTGCCCCATTTCTTAGACCCACTCTCTGCCTTTTTCCAACTGATTTTTTTCAGTTAGTTTGTCATACTGTGGCAAGCGATCATTCGCTTAGGTATGGCACTGACCAATTCCCTAAATCGGGATGGGAGGACGTCTGCCAGGACCGTGAACTATGTACCATGAGAAATTTAACGAACAAATACCGAATATATAAAGCGACATAAATGACAGTTGCTGAAGCTTTAGGAAAAATAGAACTCAGGTAGGAGGAGCGTCCAAGCCTCTTACCCTTATTTTTCGCAAACCTACCACTGGTGTTTATATGGGTATACAGATTCATGCTCTCAATTGCTTACTTATGTCACCTTGACATACGGTTTCACAACGAGACCAAATAAGTTAGAGGCTGCCGCTTGCCGGCTAGCTTCAGATTTAGAAGACTCTTTCCAGATGGAATGCAAATCGTATTAAGATGCCTTACACAGCCTTTCCGCTATCTTGCCTGTATATAGTTCTGAATGTATTCTTACATATATTAGATATAATCACAGGGATACAAAAAAATCTTGTTCGTACGTTCATACACGTAACATCACATTATTAGAGTGACGTAAAGCAGGCCGGGTAGGAGAGATCGCCAAGGCCGTTATCGTCGCCGGTCCAGCACCGGAAGCAGCCGAAGTTACGCCAGCCACCGCTACATCAGCCGTAACTATTTGAGCAAACCGCGCCTACGTTGACTACCTACGACGCTCATAGCAGTACATGACAACGGATCTTACTATATGATTTACGTATTAATTCTGCTTGCAATCGTATCTAGTTGAGTATCTCGCATTTTATGCGAGAGACTCAAATCCCATTAGAATAACGCTTTTACAGTTTCGATGTACACATGTAGCCATTGCCTATGCTTATGCACCGCTCTTTACGGCGTTTTTTATGTTGCAAGAACCATTGAATCTCTTTTGATCATTTGTCTATGCGGTTAACACGCCTTTGCTTGTAAAGACCGAAGGCTATTACTTCAAAGCCCGTTGCTGTTGCTGTTGCTGTTCCTGCTATCTCCTGTACCTCACCTTTCCTTTCCTTTAAAGTCTTATTTCTGTCGTCCTTGTTTCAGTGTATCGTGCGTAATTGTAACGATCCTAGCAAAGATCATTAGAGTTGTACGAACCGTCTTGCGGTCTTTGATGTTGCCATGAAGCATTTGACGCTTAATGAAAGGAGTGCGCTTCCTTGCTTCAAACCTCTACCGATACTGGCGTTGGCGTTTAATTAGCTAACAGAGATACAGATTCTTGTCCGCACTATCAGTACTAGTATCTGGCTTTTCCCAGACATACACGTATGATTGACTCCCTGAACCAATCGTGTGTTGTCACGTTTATGACAACAACAACAACAACTGAAGATGCCACTATATAGATTCATCAAGTTGAGCGAAATATAAATCAATGAATTGTACTCATGTTATATTTTAAGCAAATATGCCAATAAATCAGGATAGGTGAGAAATAGAGTGTCTATTACATATAAGCTAACACCACTGCTAAGGGAAGAAGTCATACCATTGTATTTGCCAAAATGGGCAAAAATGATTAATTAATTTTTGATTGTATACCAATCAAAGACAACTACAAAGCTCGTAGGTTTTAGGGGAAACAGATATTAGCTATACAGCGCATTTTTTCGGACAGCTGAAACGATCGAACCTGTATTGTCAAAAGCTGAGCCATTAATGCTTTTGTTGTGTGCGTCAAGAATGACTTATGAGCTTGACTTTTTGCCCTTAGCGATAGCCTGCCAGGCTGTAATGAGGCTGCTCACAACGAAGCCTTTATTTTTGAGGAGATGTGATTGTCTTAGTCCGTACATTTTTCCCGGTGAACCGAAGGCCCGAACAGTTACCGGCCTATGCTACTGAAAGGAAATCACCTTCTGTGTGCATGTTCTCGCTTTGCAGGAATATAGCTATCCTCTATACGATGTTGTCTAAACGGTATCCAAACGATATTGTATATACTAAAAACTATGATTCTTCGTACGTACTTTTTGTTCATTCGACATATAATACTTTGTACCTTTTTTGTTGTCAGTTGTAGTAATGCTTTATAGGTACTCAAACAGGTAGCTCAAATACCGACACCTGTAGGAGAGGTAGCTTGATCCAGCAGTGTGGAGGAGCTGTCGAAACTAGCTTGATTTCACTGAGGTTTGTATTAATTTCAAAGTTATCTATGTTTAGTATAGCTTCTGCAGAGAACAACAAATGATCGCAAGGAAATGATGCAGTGTTCAAGGCGGTCCTCAAAAACTTCGTGTATGACTGATCTGAACGGGTTTATAAAATCTTGACTGCTAACAGGCACTCGTTTGCATGTGTTGCTTGAGATGCAACTTATTTGAAACACAAACTGGAACAAGCACGTGAGAGAACCCTGCTTAGAACACAAAGGCTAATATTAAAGTATTCTCGCAAGACCATTGTGTAAACTTATTTTTGTTCTTTTAGACAAATTTTTCTAAGCGGTCCATTACCCCTAAAAGCGAACGTTTGTTTATGCTCAGCTGCTGCAGGGCAAACTGATCGTGTCGTGCACAGAAAGCAATCACCTAATTCTTTCCTAAACTTCAGTCGCAATACCAGCTGTTCGTTTGTCTATAGCTTCTTTGTGAAGTCGGATGCAATTGACTCTACCTTGAGAATGGTACAGTTTGACATGATTCTTCACATCGAGCAAGATAAACTGCTAATGAAGCCTCTGGAGATATATTAAATCTACGTTGCGACTACACACATGTTGAAGCGACCTTGCTTGGAGTATTAGCGGCTAATAGCTACTTCGATAGTTTTAAGCTCCTGTTATAAGGTAATCTCGTTTATCCTAAATTTACCAGCTGTTTCCACAACGGAAAGGCTTCGATCTACGACAGACACAGCTGTTTGTTTCGCAAGGTCTACGAGAGACGTGTGCTCGCTGGTGTCTGTGCAAGCAGTGTCGACAACGATTACCAAAGTGCGTTGTTTCATTTAATACATACGATCTAATGCCGATGAACCGGATAAGGAATTGAAGTCAAACAGGAGGAACGTAATGTGTGTGCATCTGAGAATATTTGTTGGCGACAATATGCTTTTACTGCTCATCGTGAAATTGAGTCGTGTGCTCTATAACAAATCTCAAAGGAAAAGCATTTAATGGTATCGTAGTGCTGTAAAACCTCTCGAACTTGAAAAAGAGAGACCCTGAACCTATGAGGTCAAACGCAAGCTTTCTTTGTAATTGCTGTTCCGAATTGGCCCAACATTCAATCAGAAAACGATCTCGTTTAAATTTTATTCTATCGAAGCTGTGTGTCCGTACTGCAAAAGCGGGAGATAACCACGGATTGGAAGGCGTATCTAATAGCACTGCCCAAAGCCGCCTGGCCAAGTACCTTTAGAGGTTGTAAATTTTAATCCCAGAAGCACTTTTGCACTCCTGGAGCGCCGATAGACGGAACACCGCTCTCAGCAACCTACTACTATTTAGAAATCCGAAGCGGTCCAACATTATGAAGATGAAAAGTCGTGAAATTTGCGCGCATTGCCGGGCACCGTTAGGGGGCCTGAATTTGAAACTGTTCTTGTACAGCGACGGCAGTAACGCAGGACCGAGGGTAAGGTGGCTTTGCCGCCAGTGGTCGGTCGCTATCGGCGCTCGCAATGACAAGCAGTTCGCCCACGGCAGTACGGGACAACAAACTGTATTACCTATTTTGTGTAAGATGGCTAGAAAAGGAATTAGAT